TTAGGGTTTAGGGTTTATGGCTAGGGCTTAAGGCATTTAGAGGGCGGGGTCGAGGGCCTCCGCTTCTCGTAGAGTGGCACAGGAGGTTGGCTGGCTTTCAATCGGAACCCTCACAGAACGTGAAGAAAGCGCCGGAAAAAGGGACGTGAGCCCTCTACGAGGCCAGGGAGACACCAGACCGAACCCAGAACCCAAAAAAGGCTTCCAAAACCGAATTTCCGAAGCGGCGAAGCCCGAAAAAAATTACACGAGACGAAGGTTCGAAGCCGCTCCTGCCCAAAAATCCGAACACCGGTAGTACTCGCCCCGAATTAAGTGTCATGAAGCCCTCAAACACTCAACGCCTTTGCGGCACCCCAAACCCCCAAGCCCTAAACCGCAAATCCTACACCCTCAGAGCCTAAATCCCTGAACCCCTAAACCCTAAACACCTTCGACCCTAAACCCCTGAACCCTTAAACTGCTAAACGAGCTGCAGGTTTTCGCACACGAAGCCCGTCCCGGCGAAGAAAAGGAGCCTCGGAGCAAGTCTCAAGCTGAAAAGAAGATCAGGCTTTGCTTAAGATTAAGACTTCCGGCGGACCCCTCATCCCGAAAGCTGGTTTAGGGTTTAGGGTTTAGGGGTTTATGTAGTAGCGAACGTGGAAGGGGCGGCGGTGGCAGGAGTGGCGAGCAGCAGCAGCAGCAGTCAGCAGAGTAGCCGTCGTCGTCGTCTGTAGGGGGGGAGTAGCTGGCGGACAAGGCGCTGCAGGGAGGACAAACCCGGCTAAGAACAAAATGAGTCCAAATTTGCATACTGCCACTAGTTGTCTCTGCTTGCAGTTCGGATGTTTGGTTCCACTGCTTCGGATTTGGGGCCAGAGGTTGCGAGGCTAAAGTCTTTGGTGGAAGATGGGACATACTGCCATGGCCCACTTCTTGTTTGGCATCGTTGCCAGTACGACACATGTGTGGGCCATAACAGCATCGACAACTTGTATGAATACAGTCACGCACTTGACATCACAATCATCATCATCATCATCATCATGATCACCATCATCGCCATCCTCATCATCATCATCTGCTTCATAATCGTCATCATCACCAGTAGCATCACCACCGTCGATAGTAATATCATCACCAACATCTTCATCATTGTTATCATCGCCATCATCGTCGCCCAAGTCATGAGCGCCAGCACTGTCATCATCATTCCCGCCGGCTTTTTTGCCCCCGCAGCTGCTGATCTCCACTACCCTGCCTTATTAGTCCGACTTTGCCTCTGAGATAGCTCAGATTGGAAGAGTCGCGCAATCCTCGTACCACAAGGATCACGCATGAAATGTCGGCTCATAACCAAAACTTGACACGTACCTCCTCAATCCCAAACTCCAAGCAACCTCAAGCCCGTGTGTTGGTGAGATTGACTGCTGCGACATCAGCCAGGAGGGGCACGTGTTCAGCATCCATGCCGAACTGCTTTGCCCGTTCCTGCGTTTGCTGGGCGAGAAACGCGCCAGAAAGCCGATTTTAATTGCTCTGGTTGCTGGCTGACCCTAGACTCCGTAGACGCCCTAGACCCCAAGTCGCAAGCAGATCTTGAACTTATGCAAAACTCTTCCAAACAGACAATGGAGGAACCAGCTTCGCCCGCAGGTCGACGTACTCGTCAAACATGATCGTCGCCTTTGGGGCAAGCCCTCCATCTGGTACATCGCAAGTCACCGAAAAGTCACCATAGACGAAATAGATCTTGTCGGGCGGATTTCCACTTACTGTACTGCTCCGAATCGTGCGCCAGCTAGTGAGATGCTTTACCAAGCTTCCGTCTTCGAGATAGTATGTCTTCATCTCCAAACTGGCCATGTTGTCTGCATCGATTGCCATGGCCAAAACTTTCTGCTCTTGCGGAGACATGTTCAGCCTCTCAGCAATATCTGAGACATGCTTGGAAAAGCTCTCAATGTCGAAGCCTTCTGTGCTCAGTGCAGACTTGCTCGTCTGCATTTTGGCTAAGTTGGCGGCCTCACTGATCAAGGCCGCTTGCGCTTTGGAAACCGTCTCCTGACCAATTTGACCCTCGCCACAGATGAGATGCTTGGCCTGTTTGATACCCGACGCGATTGTTTCAAGGGCTTTGTTGCGAAGTCTCTCAAGATGGGAGGGCTGCTTAAGGTGCACATCGATGACTACTCCCTTGCTCTCCGACAGCAGATCATCAACGTCATCCTCATTCATGATGCGAGTCTTCTCACCTTCATTATTCCGAAATGAAATCTCGAAACTGGTAATACTCCATTCCAAGCCAGCAAAAACCTCTTCAAGAGATTTCTTGGCCGGATACCAATTGACAATCGCCACCTCTGCTCCTTGGTTCTCATGAGGATCGGGATGGAACCGCAACTTGAACCTGCCCTTGTGGGGCTCTGCCATGCTCTTCTGCATGGCTTCATAGAACATCGTGGTAAAGCTCTGCATCTGGTCCACAAGCCTTTCACTGAATTTGCTGGCGAGGGTGGCTGCCACAGCTTTAGACATTTCCTCGGGCAAGGACCGCAAGCCCCACACCGCAGGCCCTGGATGTGTCGATACCAAGCCTGACCCATGGACGAAGCTTCCTGCAGGAGCAGAGCCCAAGAGGCTAAGCAGAATGGAACTGCAGCAAAGCAGAAAGCCCAGCAAAAGCTTCGCCGTGCCTCGTGCCATGGCGCCCGACCCTGCTACAAGCTGATCGGAGCCCTCGAGGTCCTGCTTCCCAAGCTCGGCTTTGAGCAACTGAGCCCATGCACCCTGGCCCTCTGCCCTTCAGCCCAGGGGCGCAGAGAGGAAGAGCCTGGGCAGGTAGTTGAAGAACTCGATACTCGAGAAGAACGCCGCCTTGGTGGCGGAGACGTAGCCCCTAAACCCTCAACTTGGGGATGAGAGCAAGCCTGCGTGCGTGCATGGTCACCTATTCGAATTCGGAATTCGAAAAACTTGACGTTTAGAGGTTTAAGATTGGTGCTTCAAGCGACGGCACATGGGTGTTCATGTGCGGACGGTGTTCATACGGTTGGAACTGAGACTGCTACAGCTACGAAAACACTCACATCCCCGTTTGGAGCACCTACGGCTGAAAGGCACGAGGGCTGGGGGGTTTGAGGATTGAGGGCTCAAGAAGGGGCTTGCTCTTCCGGGTCCAGCTATACCCTTAACCCCTTAGCCTTAAACTACCTAAACCCTACTTGGAGGATCGTGGGACTTAGTAAGGTTTTAAATAAGGCAACTATACCTATAATCACTTCTAACCCCAATTAAGGTACTCACGCCCTTACCGATAGCAGTGCCGGTCGAAAGGCGCCACAGAGAAGCGAGTAGATGATGCCTGGCCGGGAGGCGATGTGGGACACACCAGACCCTAAACCCTAAACCCTAAACCCTAAACCCTAAACCCTAAACCCTGAACCTCAAAGCTTCGGGCTCAGGGCTTTGAGGATTTGCCGTGGCCAACGGGTGCTGGAGATGCAAAGTCGCGGGAGCATCACAGGTTCGCAGGGTTTAGGGTTTAGGGTTTAGGGTTTAGGGTTTAGGGTTTAGGGTTTAGGGTTTAGGGTTTAGGGTTTAGGGTTTAGGGTTTACTGGGTCGCTTCCATGTTTCGGTTTCGGCCAAGGGTTGTAGAGATGCAGTGTTTGGAGCTAGGGACCTGTTTAGGGTTTAGGGCTTAGGGTTTAGGGTTCCGAAGTGAATGAGGGTTCAGCTGGAGGTCAGGGTTTGTGGCATGATGTGGGGGTCTCAATAATTTCAAAGGGGTCTTGGGGCCCACTATACTATAAGTATGAGAAGGAACCTCCAAAAATAGTGTAGGTAATTATTTAGGCCCCTACATTGGTTCAGGGTTTTGGGTTTGGGGTTGAGAAGCTAGGGTTTTAAGGCATGGGTTGTTGAGAGTTCGGGGTCCATGGTGTAAGGCTGCTTCTGCATTGAAGCTATTTCTACACGTGAAAACGCTCATTCTCCTCAGCCATGCTTCTCTGTGGCTCTCCATGTGCACATACATAAGCACATGCATGCGCACGTAGCACCAGTGGCATGACGCAAGATTGCGAAGCTGACCTGAGCCTGATGCCATGAAACACAAGCTAACCGTCTGAGTCAGGGTGCTTTGAATAGGGTTTGGGATCATATTGTGCGTCAATGATAGTAGAGGAACCCGACGGAAGGTTACGTAGTATCAGGGTTTAGGGTTCAGGGGCTGAGAGTTCAGCGTGCGGAGATGCAAGCCTCGACTGCCAGTAGCAAGGATCTGCCAAGGACTGCATCTTAGTCGAGCCTATCAGAATAGACACTACGCCCCGCAAACCTGAACTAAGATTCATCTATACCCCTTCTTGGATCCTGGGGTTTAGGGTTTAGGGTTTAGGGTTTAGGGTTTAGGGCTGTTGAAAGACCAAGCACTTTCTCAATTCCTCACTTCCCCTGCACCCTGAACCCACAAGACCCGGCTGCACCTGCTCGCCGGTCGACGACGTTGCCCATGACTCCATAGTTGATGACCTGCACAGAGAACCCAATACCCCTTTTTTTAAGGAATATACCTTAAATTATATTATTAAGGCCCCTATAATTTAAGGTATATTCCTTAATTAAGGAATATACCTTAAAATCCTTAATTAAGGATCCTACTACAATTTAAGGAATATTCCTTAATTAAGGAATATTGGGGTCTCTGGGTGCTTCGGATCCCAGAGAACCCCCGCCAGCCCACGAATGGCCAGCCTTTGGGTCGGGTTTGCTACGCCCTAAACCCTAAACCCTGAATGGCCCGAGATCCTAAACCCTAAACCCTGAATGGCCCGAGATCCTAAACCCTAAACCCTAAATGGCCCTAGATCCTAAACCCTAAACCCTGAATGGCCCTAAATCCTGAACCCTAAACCCTGAATGGCCCGAAATCCTGAACTCTAAAACCCAAAATTCAAGCTTTGGGGCCCAGGGCCAGCTGGTACCTATGGGGGCAACGTGAGAAGGCCCTGCACCCCAAAAAAACGAAAACATGCAGGGTTTAGGGTTTAGGGTTTAGGGTTTAGGGTTTAGGGTTTAGGGAACTTGACTTAAGTTAGCACAAACAAGAAATTTGCAGGCTAACTTGATCCAAAATCAATGCAACGGCCCAACAAGATCGAGAGCTTGTAGCATCTTGTAATGATGGGCCGATTTGTACAAGATCAACAAGGTGAAAGGCTACGTACTCAACTGATCATGAGCCCGACTCGGCACTTTGAGATACGTTCGTTTCCGTGCACTTGTGGGGACCTGCTCAAGGCCACAGCATGCCGAACACAACACAAAGTTTAGGATATAGGGTGTAGGGTTTAGGGGCTAGGAAATAGCAAACCTTGAACCATTGGGTTTATAGTAACCCCCAGAAAGTTGGAAACCGGATTAAGGCCGAAATAGTGCTGGGATTCCCTATACATTAGTCTTAAGGATTAAGGCTATTGGGATTCCAACTTTTGGGCTTCTAACGTAGGGTTAGGCGGGGCAAGTAGTAGACAGAGTTGTAGAATAGTCGCGCAACTCTAGCATAGCACGTGTACATATTGATGCGGTTCAAGGTTGAAGGATTAGGCTTTATGGTTTAGGCAAGACAAAACCGAACTAGCATTGAGCTGGAAAGACCGGGTGAAGCAGCAAAAACAAAGGTCCGAAACAAAACACAGCATGCAGCGCTCAAGCTGAAACACAGCAGGCATGAGCAACCGAAGCCAAAGCCTTACGAAACAAACTGAGAAACCTGAATAAACTGCCAGCCCTAAACCCAAAAGCCAAGGAACCCAAGACCCTCAAGCCCTAAACCCAAAAGCCAACGGACCCTAAGAACTAAAACCAAAGCCAACGGACCCGAAGCCCTAAACCCAAAGCCAAGGAGCGTTGAACTTCAGCTGCATGTAACCTCAGCTGAAGCGCAGCTTCGGATCTGGAGTCCAGGCTTTCAGGGTTTAGGGTGTTGGGTTTAGGGTCGAGGGTTTGGGGTTTAAAAGTTTTTGGTTTGGGGTTTAGGGTTTGCGGTTTGGGGTTTGGGGTTTTTGGCTTGGGGTTTAGGGTTTAGGGTTTGGGGTTTGGGGTTTAGGGTTTGGGTTTGGGGCTCAGACGGGTCGGGTGATTAGCAGAAGTGCAGCTGCAATACTTCTGGGTATCACCATGATAGTGGTGCCAACACGGCATCCTTGCTGTTCGCGTCGTTTCAGTGTAAGTGTCCTCACAAGGTCTTCTGCTTCGTGCTACAACCATTGAGAGGTACTGTTTTTGCGAAAGCGACGGCCAGCTGCATTGTTTGTGTACGGTCCAAGAAAGGCTGCAAGCCACCAGCTTCTTCATAGACCGCAGTGTTGCGACTGCTCTGCCGTTGGCAAAGGACTCGTTTACCAGACATGCGTTTTGGAAGATGACATTCTGTAGCGAGGGGCTTGCTCGTTTCAATGCAACCTCTGCGGGCTTGAGCCTGACCACAACCCCTTTCGCGAAATCACTCTTGGTGAACCGGCTTGGGTCCACCCAAACCTCCAGCTGAATGCAGCCCATGGATCCAACAGTGGATGCGAAGACCGACACGATGGCATTCACGGCCCCATACAGCGAGATCTCGTAGTTCTTGTCCACCTGTGAGCGGGACGCTGTCTGCTGAAGACAGCAGGCACAACCACACAATTCATAGGATAGACCTTAAACCCTGTCTTTCAATTTCGCTTGACCCCCACAACCCTTGACCCCTGCCTGCCATGAACCCTCAACCCCCCGAACTTGTGGAGTTTGGTACTTACGGTGGCTTCGAGTCTCGGCTTGGTGCCGCACCCCCTTAGCTACCATGGTGATTCAGGGTCAATAACACGACTCTGGATGCTAAGCCTAAACCGTGAATTCGCAGACCCAACGCCCACCACAACACGGTTCCAACCTTCACCGGGATCTTGTTCTCGGTCGAGGAGATCCTTCGATAAAGGGCTTGAGAATATTTCATCAGTATTAGTACGAGTAGTGGCACTAGTATTAATATTCGTATTCGTAAATTGGGTTTCTTAGGGTGTGAGGGCGCTTCGGTGGCAGGTGAGGGTTCGTGGTGAGCCGAAGCCCGGAACCATAAACGCTTGTAAAGAAACCCTAAGCCCTTATAAACACTAAACCTCAAAGAACCCTACTTTCTTAAAGCAGCGGTCTTTGTAGGATCGAGCAATCCGCGTTTTGAGCTAGACAGCCCTGGTCCCGTCAGCCAAAAGCCCTTGATCACTCCTGCAGGGGTACTGGGCAGAGGGTGTTCGGGTTTCGGTTTGGGGAGGTTTCACAGGTTTAGGGTCAAGGGTTTAGGATTTTGGGGTTCAGGGTTTAGGGTTTAGCGGTGTCTCATGACAGATGCCACGGACGGACCAAAGCATCCCTGGAACCCTGAACTGCAATCACTCCACCCGCACCCCGAACTCGAAACTCCTGAACTCAAGCACCCCAAACCGCTGCTGGTGGAAAGCCTCTGCCAAAGCGACACCTCTGCGACCCCTCCGTTACCCAAAAAGAGAACACGACCAGGCACTTCAGGGAGCAGTCCAAGACCACCACCAGAATCATGATCCTTCGGAATTCGAAGCTCCCGGGCTTTAGGGGGGTGGAGTTTAGGGTCCAGTGGTGGGGGGCTGAGGGGATTGAGAACCCACAAGGCTTCACCTTTAGGCTCAAAGGGGGACTGGGCCCCTAAACCCTAAACCCCTAAACACCAAACCCTAAACCCCTAAACCCTAAACCCTAAACCCCTAAACCCTAAACCCTAAACCCCTAAACTCCAAAACCCTAAACCCCTCAATGCGACGCCAAAGGCGCCCGAGGTCGGTGAAGGTGGCCGTCCACGCAGTGAAGTTGATCTTGCCTGGAGCCAGCTTAGAAAACAGTTGGAGGCCTCACTCCTACTAACCCAGAACCCTAAGATAAGGGCCTTAAGAGATAGAACAGGGTTTTTTGGGGGGCCCATGATACATGATCATAATCAGGAACCCCCAAAATAGTATAGGCCTAACCCCCAAAAATAGTATAGACCTAACTCCTACAATATCGGGGCCATACTAATTGGTTTCGGGGGCCATTACTCTCTGATTATAATAAGGAGCCCCAAGAATGGTATTGGTAATTATTTAGGCCCTTGCATTACACCCTACACCTTAAACCCACTGCCCCTCTTGTTGCTGCTTCTCACCGCATCTGCGCTTCATCATCCAGCTCCAAACTCTAAACCGAAACTACCCAAAACCCGGAGTGGAGGTCGAAGGTTGTCTTATGTTCTTACATCTTAGTATTTTTCTGTCATAGAACAGCTGTTTTTTTATTGGGTTTAGGGTTTAGGATTTGGGGTTCAAGTTTAGGGTTTAGGGATCTGTCGAACACAAACTTAGGGTTTGACAAGGAGCTGTACTGGCCGATGCTGTCCGTCCACACGAGGTAGAAGGGCTCGTTGCTCATCTTCGGGAAGAAGAAGTCGGAGGTATCGGCATCCTCGGAAGACTTGACAAGTTTAATGTAGGGGCCTTGATAATTAGAATAGGTTTTGGGATGCTTTATAGTAAAGGAACCCCCAAAATGGTATATATGGTATTGGTAATTATTAAGACCCCTATATCTATATTAGGGTTTAGGGCTCAGGGTTAAGGGTTTAGGGCTTTTGCGCTGTAGGTTCAGGACTCCAGTGCTTCAGATCTTAAAGGGGGTCAGCATCCCGCGTGTTTAGCTTGCAATTGAAGCTCCACCAGTCCGGCATCGACGATTATCGACTACCCATATACCTGTATAGGACTGTATGGTGGAATATGCCCCCGTCGAAGTATTCAGTGCCTGAGTAGGCCCTTATAAGGCCCTAGCATTCTATAAGTCCCCTCAAAACCCTTTATACAAACCCTGTACGATCCTGTATTCACTTTCTATCAACGATGGCTCTGACACCAGCGCTCCGCTCTACGATGTTCCTGGGAGTGTGTCCTGCTTTGAAAGCATTTCCGACAGGGATGTGGACAGGAACACTGTCTGTTGCGCGGCAAATACCCGTCACTGGAAGCTACATTCAACGAAACAGGGTTTGACGCCACCCACCCGAAAACCAAAATGCAGGGGCCTTAAACACAGCTCGTGAGCGTGAGAAAAATGCCGGCAGCGTGACGTGGGGCATGGTTTTCCGAGACCACAATCCCTGTACAGACGCCGTCTTAGCCGAAAATCCTAAGTAAACTGCTATTGCGGGGGAAATACTTTTTTGGATCTCAGATTTAGGGCCCAGGGATGTTTAGCGCTTGGCAGGGTTTAGCGCCTTTCGGGTTTTAGGACCTAGGGCATATCAGCAAACCCGTCCCTGCTGAGGGAATGTAGCCTAGCAGGTGGTGTTTGAAGTTCGGACGCTCCGTGTTTGGATTTGGTAACCAAGTTGGTACTGGCATTTGGGGTCTAGCTTAAGGTTGGGAGCCAACCTAAACCCTGAAACCTCAACCTCATCACAACCCATGTAACTTAATTCCGAAAACCTCACGCATCAGGGTGACGCCTGATCGGAATATACCTTAAACCAAAACGGGATGCTCAATTTGATGTACGGAATCTTCGAACCCTAAACCTCAAACCGGTACATTCCTTTCAGTCCCTGGGTTCAGGGCCGAGCCGAGCCACGACGTCGTAGCCCGCGCCTAAGACGATGGCCCAGAAGATGGCCAAGGGAAGCAGGATCCCCAGAGGCATCACGATGGCAGGGTTACCTCGGAACGCGTCGGGGGCTAGGAGTTAAAGAAGTCAACAACATGACGGAATGGTGACACTAATGATGACAGGAATCATGACAACTGTAGCAACAATATTTACAACAGGCAGAATGGCAGCCGTAATCGCAATACTCATGATGGCTTCCACATTGACGTCTCTCCAGTCTGCCGAGATGCCGATGTGCATTGCCTTCATGAAGTACAGCGGCACACCCACGCAGGCAGCGGGGACGAACTGGTAGTAGTCGTAGTTGCTGAACTTGAGGGCATACCTTCCGAGGCAACGTGGGTCTTTCGAGCTCAGTGTTCGGAGTCCGCCGATCCGCGTCACTTCGAAGCTGACATGATATATGAAACGGGGATTTTGTTGCGAACCTCCCTAGAACACAACCTGAAGTATGCACGTACAAACACTTGTCAGAAGCTATATATACCCACGAAAACCCCATTTCGAAATCCACTTCATATCAGAATATCCCACAATCCCTTCACCGCGAAGCTCGGAATGCCAACACTGGGAAGCAGTCTGAAGACGTGAAAGGCCTGGGACCGCTTCGTTCGTGCGGTGCTGAGACCCTACAACGAAAACCCCCTGCCTCCGCCTCAAGCCCTGAAGAAAAACCATCGACCCTGGAAAACCTCTAAACCCTAAACCCTAAACCCTAGACCCTCAACCCTAAACGGTTTAGGGTTTTGGGTCTAGGGTTCAGGGGAAACCCAAAGCCGAAACCCCGCAAAAGGATTCCAGCTTGCAGGGGAGCCGGGCTCAAATGCTCAAAAAAGCTTTGATGCTGCCGTTCTCGACCCCAGCCGAAAGTCTCGAAACTTTCCGGTCAGACGTATCATGAAAAGCGGACTAAACACTACAGTTGAGAACTGCGTACTACGAATAGGAATCGCTCCCAAGGGGCTTGAACACTTTGTAGCCAATGCAGGAAAGGAAGGCCTGGCAGAATTCAGTCGAAACTTCGACAGACGGAACAACAACTCGTTCGTCGTTGTCGTTGTTGTCGCTGTGCTTGTGCATATGCAGGTCCTTGTCCTCGTCTTCACCCTCATGCCCATTCTCATCGTCGTCGTCGTTCTCCTCCTCCTCCTC